AACTTAATATTGCCTCCTTAACACAGAAAACAACTTTTAATTTGACCAAGCATTGTCCCAGTAGATGGAAGCATCTAGTTGACCTTGGTTGGTTCCAGCAAGTTTAGCAGGGCCAGTTTTAGTTTAACAATTAGATGGCAGACCACTAAGAAAGCCTGTAAGTTAATTAAAGGTTGGCACTTCCAGGCTGGTGCAAAGAAAATCGGGGACTGAGCTAGGGTCTCTTCATGTCTCACTTTTAAAGACTTTTCATTGGAGGAGGGGGGTGGGTAGAGTAATAATTTTCATTACCAACAGCATATTTCTGTCTCAATGTACCTGCAAGGTACCGGTCAGGTGACAACAGCTGTACTTCCAACTGTGGATAGTTTGGATTGAAATTGGTCTTCAGTGAAGCTTTGCAGCAAAAGATTCAATGATTTCAGTTTAGTACAATGATCTTTGTTGTACTTTTCTCTGCTTCCCCCCCTCCCATTTTACAGATGTTTTCTCAAGTCTAATCCTTTCTTTTCTCTTTCTCTACAATGGACCTTCCTTCCTTCCCTCCCTTTTCTTTTTTCTTTTCTTTCCTCTTCAGGCTTTGCATTCTCAGAGTTAGGACTACCAGGTACAAGATGCAGAAATCTTCTCAATCTCAGCAGCTTTAAAACGTGTGGACTTCAACTCCTAGAATTCCCTAGCCAGCATTTCGCTGGAATCCCTCAGAATTCTGGGACCTGTAGTCCAGGGCTTTTCAACCTTTTCACCCATTGTACCACTTTTAGGATATGGCAACATCCGAGTACCACCAGTCGCCTAGCAAGGTGTCAAAAACTTGATGACCAAAAAAAAAAAAAAAAAGTGATAAAGTACAGGTAGTTGTCGACTTACAACAGTTCGCTTAGTGACTATTCAAAGTTAAAATGGCACTGAAAAAAGTGCCCCCCAAGCCACAGCCAAGCAAGACACCTGCCTGCCCACCCGGCGGCGCTCTTCCTCCTGTCCGAGGTTTTCATTGTTGTGAGCATTTCTGTTGAGGATTGGCAGCGGGGGTGGGGTGGGGGGATGTTTGGTTTTTATTCTACCCGTCTGCTGGGTGGTTGCAGCAGGTTTTGGTCACTTCACATGACCCTGGGACACTGTGACCATCATAAATATGAATCAGTTGCCAAGCATCTGAATGTAAATCACATGACCCTGGAGATGCGGCAACATTCCAGCTGATCGGCGCTTCTCCTGGGCTCAGCAGAAGTGCCAGGATCAGCGCTGAGCTCCAGCTAGAGCCTGGCGCTGATCCTGGCGCTTCCGCTGAGCCCTGACAGCCCTGAAAAAGCGCTGATCACTGGAAAGCGGCACTGATCCTTGCGCTTCTGCTGAGCCCTGACAGCCCTGCAGCTCCAGCCATCTCTCGCTCAGGCTGCCACCGGTTCAGCTCATTCCCCTCCCCTGCTACTTTTCTAGGATGGTCGCGTACCACCTGCCAGGTGCCAATGTACCACAGGTGGCACCCCTACCACTGGTTGAAAAGCCCTGCTGTAGTCCACACATCTTAAAGCTACTGAAGTGGAGAAACAATGATCCAAATAACCACTAGATGGCAGGAAAGGGAGGCCACACACATTTACTGCTGCCTCCTAATGCTCAACCAGATTTTTGCAGCCAAGACCCCCCAAATTATTCCAGATCTAATGGAACCCTGAGAAAAATGCGACTTCAGATGCCATCATTGAATGAATCAGCGATTTTCAATAATCTCTCTGCCTTGAAAATTGAGGCAGGGCAACCTCAATGAACTCACTTAAGAAGTAAAGATATAATTCATATTTTAATAACTTTGATGCTGGGATCCTTGGCTTCTGCATCCATGCCTCAAAGAAATCTTTCTGAATAGAAAATGCAAGGACCAGCTCCCTTGGCCTTTATCCTAGATATTGTCATCCTGTTTGATACATTCTGTTTGATAATGTACTCCGAGTTCTTAAAAGAACATGTTTGATCAAGAACACGGATAAATTCCAATATTCTAAACAGTTTGGCAACTTTTCTGCAAACCCCCTGAATTCAGGGTTGCCTGCCAAGAGTAATCCACTGACCATGAGCCTCTGGAATAAACTGTTCTAGTCTGGGAAATGGCAAAAACTCTTTTTCTAATATATTGGTGTTATTGCCAAAATAAATTCCTGGTCACAATGCCCACCCCTGAAATTAATTTATATTCTAGCAAGTGGGTTCATTTTCTTCGCCTAAGGGAGAGATGAAAACATCAGCAGACAGAAGAAACAGAATGTGAATATTTTGGGGAACTGCAAAATGGGCAGTGGAAACAATGCTTGAATTATTGGGGGTCGGAGGACCCTCCCTCCAATATCCCCACGGCTTATATCTATAGGAGACAAGATTTGGCCAAAAAGAAATTGACAACATTGGTGGTGTATACATTTCATTAATCCTCCCACTCAGCCATTTTTGAACATAGAACACAGAATAATAGAGTTGGAAGGGACCTTGGAGATCTTCTAGTCCAACCCCCTGCTCAAGCACGAGACCCTATACCATTTCAGACAAATGGTTGTCCAGTCTCTTTTTAAGCGCCTCCAGTGATGGAGCACCTATAATTTCTGAAGGCAAACCATTCCACTGGTTTATTGTTCTCACTGTCAGGAAATTTCTCCTTAGTTCTAGGTGGCTTCTCTCCTTGATTAGTTGTCACCCATTGTTTCTTGTCTTGCCTTTTGGTGCTTTGGAAAATAGTTTGACCCCACTCATCTTTTGCCTTCCAAACTCGCAATCACAACACCCCAGCAGCTGCTCGATATAAATCAAAACCCCCAAAAGGGAGAAGCAAAGAAAATTAGTTTTTTGTTCTCAGAAGGGAAAAACAGCCAGGGAACCATAACAGAGCAGACAGCAAGTCCCCAGTCGGAGCAAGAAAGCGACACTGAACGGAGATGGGAAGAAAGGAAAGTCCTGGAGTGGGGAGAGGCAGCCAGGAAGAGGAAGAGAGAGAGAGAGAGAAGCTGTCAAGGACCTGGATACAACTCAAGCAGGTCACTCTGAAGTCCTGGCTAGGAGTGGCACAAAGTTTGCCAGGGCTATTTTGAGCTTTTGGGAACACATTGGGAAACTCCTCCAAGCTACAGTGGCACCAGCAGCTGCCCTGCCCACCTTGCCAGGAATACGGATGTTCCCAAATCTACACTGTGCTGTGCTCGCTACCCAAAAACAGTGTCAAGAGAAATACTTGCCAGGGTTTTAATCTTTAATTGGGGAACTGCAAAGCGGGAGAGAAAGAAAAAGAGGGAGGGGGGAACCCCTCCATGCCACTCTGAATTCACAGAGAAGCAGATTTATCTCTCAGCTGGGTGGTGACATTCTGTGCATGCCTGGAATAGAGCAGAAGCAATTTTGGGGTGACAGCAAGGGGGAAACTTCAAACAAAGATTTCTTTTCAGAACTAAATCAACCATTTAAAATCCCCTAAGGCTATTTTTCCATAAAGACATGCAACAAAATTATAGCTAAAGAAATAACCTATAGCCATAACTCTAGTTCTTGAAAACCTCTCCCAACTCATTCCTGAATGCAAAAATGCTGGGCATTTCCTCGGATGCCAGTTCTGTTTTTGAAATTTGGAGGTTAGGAATTTGCTAGGGATTCTGCAGCTAGTTTTCAAATAAAACCCAACAAAGGACAGAATGACTGATAAAAACAAAACAGGAGGATTCCGATCAGCAGAATTTACAGATGGAAATCCGTGCTAAAAGTCTATGGAGATTCTCAGTCGTCCAGGTCAGGATTGTCCCAAAGGTGCTTTTTCAAAAGGCAACTGGACTTACAGTTACAATTATTACCATACAGTCCTTTCAGAACGAGGGCTAACAACCACACGATTGCAAGGAATATAAATCCTTCCATTCCCCGCCATTCAGTCAGAACTGAAGAAACTTCTTTGATGAGAAGCGAGACGACTTCTAGCAAAACAAGAAAGTCCAGTGGCCTTTTGAAAAAGCACCTTTGGGGACAACCATGACCTGGACAACTGAGAATCTCCATAGAGAGTCCTTTCATAGACAGTTCCATCCCCTATTCAGGTGACCCTCAGGGCACAGATAAACCTCCAAGTGGCCTCAACGACTCCCAGAAAGAGTGCCAACAACCAGATGACTGCAAGGAATATAAACCCTTCCATTCTCTACCATTCAATGAGAACTGAAGAAGCTTCTTGGATGAGAGGCGAAACGTCTTCAAGGAAAAACAAAGGAAGTCCAGTTGCCTATTGAAAAAGCACCTTTGGGACAATGCTAAAAGTTGTTTCTCGCTAAGCAAACCCATAAGCCTTCAAAGAGAAATGTGCTGAAGGGTGCATCCTAAAAAAAAACTAAAAAAACTAAAAAAAAAACCTGATGTACCAACTGAAAACAATTTCCCTTCTAAGTGCCACTGATAGTTCTCAAAGGTGGACAACTCAGCCTTTTCAGATAATTTACTTACAAACAATTAGGTTGGATTTATACTACTGAGAGTGTGACTAACCCAATAAAAGAGTTAGGAAATTTGCAGTTCAGCATGTTGTAGAAACCCAGCCTTGTTATCAAAAGTTATGTGAACCAGGCCATCACTTTAAGCCATAATACAGTTTATTAGTTGGCAGTTGTGATGTTGTATGTCTTCAGTTTGCGGTTGCAATGTATTAAGATTTAGTTTACGTATTATAGGAGCTCACCCCTTAAGGCTTTATAGCAGCACTATAATATTCTTTTTGTTTCGGTTTTGTGGTTCCCAAACCTACCCCTGACCACAGTTTCTCAAAGTCCATGGCTTAATTGCTTGCTATTTTGTAATGCAAGCAAGATGTAAAGCAAACCTTAGCTTAATACAGCTTTTAAATAATTAAGAATTTCTTGGAACACCCCCCCCCCCATACCTACTATTCCTAGGAATGATGAGTATCATTTCCCACGTATCACATAGCCACGCCTAGCCTACATCTCCATCCTATCCAGTTCAGCCTTTATTCTCACCAAAATGGATTCAGGTAGCTCCACGTAGAACATAATGGAGAGGTCATCTCGACAGATAGCCATCTTGGAAGGGGTGGCAAATAAAGAAATATGTGCCATGATGTCATGACATACCCTGGTGTCAGATGTCATCAGACAAGTATTAAGTTACATTTTGTCCATGATGACATCCTGGCACTTTGAATCATCATTGTAATGTATTGTGGCTTGTTACATACATCACTGCCCAGACATCGATGGCCTAAGAATTTATGGAGAATGTGGAAATGAAGAGTCTAGAAAAGTGCTTATTTATTTGATGCTATTGTTGTTATTGTTATTAGGAAAAAGATACCTGGCTTAAGAAAATTATCTTGGGGGAAAAATATTTTACTTAATGTGAAAGCTTTTGCAATCCCAGTCACTTAAAGTCTCTTTTAGAGTCAGCATTGCTATATTTACTTTGTAAAAGGGTAGGATTAATAGACATTTTGATCAAATAAAAAGTACATGCCTCCAATTAACTTAGACAGTTAAATTTTTTAAAAATATATCTTGATTGAAGTGTAAATGACATATTTTTAGCATAAATATCTGCCTTTTTTAATCTGCAGATGGAAAGAAGGCAGTAGCTTTTTTAAAAAAAATTCACTCTAAGAAAGGAGGAGAGAGGCCACTTTATTTTTAGAAGAGGTAAAAAGAAAAGGTAAGTGGTGTAGTAAGAAAAAGTAGTACTTCTAAAGTGACACACAGGTGACTTACGACCACGGTTGAGCTCAAAATTTCCATTGCTAAGCGAGACAGTTAAGTGAGTTTAGCCCCATTTTACAACTTTCTTGCCATAGTTGTTAAGTGAATCACTGCAGTTGTTAAGTTAGTAACACAGTTGTTAAATGAATCTGGCTTCCACATTGATTTTGCTTGTCAGAAGGTCAAAAGAGGAGATCACATGACCCTAGGACACTGCAACCATCATAGGTACATGCCAGTTGCCAAGCATCTGAATTTTGATCACATGACACAGTGATGCTCCAACAGTCGTATGAAAAACAGTCATTAGTCCCTTTTTTCAGCACTGTTGTAACTTTGAACAGTCACCAAATGAATGGTTATCAGTTGAATATGTAAAATCAGGTATAAAATTTGAAGTATGGTTATTTTCCCACATGTTAAGTATGCCCCCATTTTAATTCATCAGACAAACAACTTAACTCTCTTGTGATTAACTGGCATGAAACTTCTCTAATCAGATGATGGACATTATTCAAAGACAGGTTACCATATGACCATTTTGAAAAATAGGTCCCAGAAGCAGCCCTAGGACAAATTAAGCTGAATTTGCTTATTAGATTGATATTGATCAAGGTGGATGGGAAGCTTTGGAGAAGAACCAAGTGACACATTACACAGAGGTGTGCAACCTCTTCCTTTGGGAGAGAAAACGTTGAGCTTGTCACACAACTATTTCTATGGAAGCAGAGAGTGATAGTGGCATGTGGCCTGCCATTGGGGAGACCCAGGTCAATAACCCATGAAACTTCACTTAGTGCTATCTCTCAACCCAGCCTATTCCACAGAAATAGGAGGAATATTGAAATGAAAGGGGAGGAAGATGCAATTAAGGGAACATCCCCTGTTGAGCTTTTTTTTTGCTCCAAGGTAATTCCCTTTTTACAACCCTGTAATCCAGGGCCACCAGGCCTCAGGATAGGCTGGCCAGTGCATGCGCGTGTGCACGCACACCCCCTCACTTGTGCTAGTGCCGCGGCTGTGGGGCGCAAAAACAGGACGCCGCACCACGGGGTGCAAAAACAGGCCAGCGCCGCGCTGCAAGGCGCAAAACAGATGCTGCTGCACCGTGGGGCACAGAAACAGGCCACCACCGCACGGCGCAAAAATGGGCACTGCCACGCAAGAACAGGTCAGGGCTAGTATCATGTGGGTGCTAGCCCCGCCCCGTTTGTGGCACGTGAGTGCTTGCGGCCCTGTGTGCATGGGCGCACATACACACATGTAAAATGCTTCCCCCTCCCTTTTCCTCCGGTCTGCCAACAAAGGTTGGTGACCTCTGCTGTAATCCCTTCGTTCATGAATTTCTTAAAAAAAGGAATCCTCTCCAGGTCTATACCTCTGTTCTTCCATTTAAAATACAGGTAGCCCTTGAGTTATGACCACAATTGAGCCCAAAATTTCTTTTTGCTAAGTGAGACCATTGTGTTCTGCCCCCTTTTATGACCTTTCTTGCCTCAATTGTTAAGTGAATCACTGAAGATGTTAAATTAGTAGCATGGTTGTTAAGCAAAGCTGGCTTCCCCACTGCTTGTCAGAAGATCGCAAAAGGGGATCACATGACCCCTGGACACTGCAACCGTCATAAATATGAGTCAATTGCCAAGCATCTAAATGTGGATCACGTGACCATGGGGATGCTGCAATGGTCGTGTGAAAATCAGTCGTCACTTTTTTCACTGCCATTGTAATTTCAAACGGTCACTAAATGAATGGCTGTAAATAGAGGACTATCTGTGCTGATGCCTTGCTATAGTTAAGGGACTCCTCTTATATTCAGAGAGGCCTCCATGAGCATACGCTGCAGACTGTTAAGGAAGAACATGAGTGGAGAGAAAAATATTGGAGGGCTCAGAGGAACCCCACTTATGCCTCAGGTAGTTTTTGGAGAAATCATTGCATTGAGCAATAAGGTCTCAATTTTGCTTATAGATCTGCAGATTTCTTCAGGAAACTGGTCTAGGGGAAAAGGAGGGGGTATTTCAGTATGCACCAGATCAAGAAGCAGCACGATACAACATACAGGGGATCCTCTCCATTTGTTTCATTGAATAATCATGGGGCCTGGAGCAGGCCACGTTTCCTCAGTTTCCCTGACCTGTGAAATGGGCACAATCTATGGCTACTTACGAAGCTGCCTCAAACCAAACTATTGACTCATCACATTTCTATTTCTTAACGAAGCAAACATTTCCCAGGCTCGTGGATCCCTTATTCCTTTTTTAAAAAATATCTCTGTGAATATTGGAGGGGGGGGGATTCTTAAGAAACTGATTTTTCCTAGCAGAACAAACTTTTTCCTCTTTTTTTCCCAAATTCTAATCTACTGTGACCACAGACATTTGGATTTAGAATTCTGAAATGGACTGTGGAAGGAAAGAAATAGGGCTGCCAGGAGGTCTATCCTGACAGGCTCAAGGTTGACTCAGCCTCCCATCCTTACGAGATCTGTAAAATGAGGACTCAGATTATTTGGGGCAATATGATGACTCTGTAAACTGCTTAGAGAGGGCTGTAAAGCATTGTGAAGCGGTATATAAGTCTAAGTGCTATTGGGGAAGCCAGAATCTAGTTCCCCACCTACCCCCATCTTAGAAGACTCCTATGGGCAGCCCTTCTTTGTTAGCCTACTAGTCAGGGGTAGGCAACCTCGGCTCTTTTATGACTCGTGGACTTCAACTCCCAGAATTCCTGAGTCAGCTATGCTGACTCAGGAATTCTGGGAGTCGAAGTCCACGAGTCATAAAAGAGCCGAGGTTGCCTACCCCTGGCCCACCTTGCCACAGAGAGTGGCTATTGGAGGGAATAATAAGATCAGGGTGTATTCTGGATTGATTGATGGATCAAATTTATATATCCATCCATGTCCCCCAAAGGGGACTCTGGACGGTGCAAAATAAATAAAACAGCCAACATAAAACAGATAAAAATCTAAAAGCGACAGTAACACGATAATCATACCACCTTGTTTGAATTCCAGATAGAAGCATAATTCATGTTTAGAGACCAAGAGCCACATGACCTTAAGAGACCCCATTATGGATCTCAGCAGAGATACCTCTGAGATGCAAAGGACTTAACCCAGAGAATGCACGCAAGTTGTTCTGCGGCCTTCTCCGAATTCCATTCTTTTTGTTTATTAGAATATTTTTTACGGGATGCAATCATACCAGATAAGGATTAATTACTGTACACATTTTCTAATGGGAGAAAGCTTAAATGTAAACCCCTCCGAGTTACTGCAACCGTTTTCCTTAGGAAAAGGAGCCCTTAATAAAATGGGTCTTTTCAGCAAAAACGGCACCTGTATCACAAGGCAGAGTAATTATTGGGCTAGCTGAAACAGGGTAACCTTTGCATTTGATCCCGGCAGATCTTTTGCTTTTTTCTTGCTTTCTTATTCAAAATATTGGTCTTCACAGAAAAAAGAATTTTTTCAGGCAGAAGTTTAAAAAGTCAAAATGGTGGCCTCAACTGTGAGAATCAACGCTCTCCTTTTTTTTTAATGTGCTTGCAGGACTTTAATTGCCAACTTCAGCTTTGTTTTACCATACTTTCTATACGCCTCTGTTTTACAGTCTGATTTAAAATAAATAAACAAATAAATCTCACTGACTGTGCCTACAGTAATATCATTTGTTTTCTAGTTTAGGCCCTTTCTCAACTTAAGGGCTAGCTTTAAGGAAATACATTGTTATTTTTAAAAAGACCTTCCGTATTCATTCAGAAAATTACAGTGCTTCCTCAGGGTGACTGTGGAAAGTAAATCGTAAAAAGGAAGAGTTCAGAATTCAGAAGTTTTTTACATTTCAGCTGAGCTTTGAAACTGGACCAAGCATTCACTGAGTTTTGCCAAATAATTCTGCTTCTTTGCCACTCTAAGTCACTCAAGCTGGAGGTGATTGGGGTATGCCAAGAGTTTGGGAAGCCCCCCCATCCTTTTGAAATGGCCTAAATGCAGCCTTTCCCAATAAATAAAATAAAGTAAAATAAAATAAAATAATAAAATAAAATAATAAAATAAAATAAAATAAAATAAAATAAAATAAAATAAAATAAAATAAAATAAAATAAAATAAAAAAATAATAATAAAATAATAATAAAATAAAATAAAATAAAATAAAATAAAATAAAATAAAATAAATAAAATAAATAAAATAAATAAAATAAAATAAAATAAAATAAAATAAAATAAAATTGCAGTTGCAATCAGCTCCATTTGCTTCCCACTTCCACTCTTTCGGCCTGCTCAGAACTAAGAAGCTCCAAGCTTAGATCCCCATATTTTGGGGAG